TCTACTCAGCATGCTCCCTCTGTGTGATTGTTTATGTGACTAGATTATTGATCTCATCTGTTTCATCTGAATTGTCATAATTGGTTAAGACAAGGGCTATGTACACAATAGCATCTTGAAATGCTAGTGAGGTTCTCTCCCCACCCCCCTCCGCCCCTTGTTTTTCAAGTCCCATTTGCTGTACTCACCAGAGAGGGTGAAAGGATGTCTTCACTTAATATGCATTACCCGTTTGGTTTCCCTGCTCCTGCAACCCACCCCAAATTTCTACTTACGAAGCTGTCATCTGAGCAGGTGCAACAGCTGTCTCAAATGTACACACCTCAGCTTGACAGATTGGAGAACTGGGGGTGGTGGACTCTCCTTCCTCGGAGGTTTTCAAGCAGAGGTTGGATGGCCATCTGCCATGTCTGATCTAGCTGAGATTCCTCCATTGCAGGTGGTTGGACTAGAAGACCCTCAGGGTCCCTTCTAAATCTACAATTCTATGAGTCTATGTGAAGTGAATATGGTTTTCTTTTTGGGGGGCGGTGCATCAAACGGCAGTATTTCTCAAGACTCTACAGGATAGATATGGATTTTTACTACTGTCATTTGTAAACACCAGCAGTAGGAGTCCGCTGGAGCCTGGGTGAAAGGATAATGTACACACAGCCTTGGTTATTCAACAGAGCTCAGCAGAGGTTTTGCTAAATAAGTATGTTATGAATAGGGAAGTTGGCTTCAAGAGGAGGAGGGATGGTGATTTGCATAAAGCAGAATCCTCCTTTTATCATGCAGAACAACTTGACTTCTGTGTTTGTAGCTGTCCTTTTTGAGTACCCAAGGTGCTAATCATTTTAACATCATGCATAGAATCATAGAATCATAGAGTTTGATCTTTCAGCGCTTGCTTTTCGGTGACAGTGGGTGGTTACTCAAGTCTGATTCATAGCACAGTTATATGTATAACTCATGTGAAGAAAATTAATGAGAAATGGCAATATTTTCAATAGGAGCAACGTTTTAGGTAATCGCATAATTAACATTGTTAGGAATATCAGCTATTTCAGAGCACTGTGAGGGCTGGATTATTCATGGGTTCGGTACATATCTTGGGTGTCTTTTCTTTCATCTCTACTCCCACAGGTTAGAAGTGACTGAGCATCTGTGAAGGCTCTGGATGCTTTGCCTGATTACACATCATGCTATTTGATTCAGAACATTGCGTTGGCTTGGGATCATGAACTGCAGCTGCAGTGCTTTTAGAAATCCAAATGATCCTTTGATGTTGCCTGCGTGTTGAGTTTGGAAACACTTAGCAAATGCTTTCCATGAAATACGTTCAGGGCTTTGAACACTCGACAAAGAAAACGCTGCAGGACTCTGTGTGTTGCACGGGAAATGCTGCTTAATCAAGTGCAACAGGGGTGGGGAACCTTTTGGTCAACCTTTGGAGGATCCACATATCAACAGTGGATGGGGTCAGAGGTGAAAGTTGGTGGAGCGGCTACTGTCAGAATTGCCTTCACACACTTGGCTAGTTTCAACTCACTTGCACATCCCTCTCTAGGTGGGCAAGAAGCAGAGTTGATGAGGGACTTGCAGCATGGGGAGAAGGACTGTGGTGTGTGGAGAGTCCTGAGGTAGAGCCAGAGAGGCTTGGGAGGCTGCATTTGGCTCCTGAGTCTGAGGTTCCCCACCTCTGAAGTAAGGTTATCAGATGTCCCCGTTTCCTGGGGACAGTCCCTGGATTCACCGTATTTTTCGCTCTATAAGATGCACCAGACCACAAGACGCACCTAGTTTTTGGAGGAGGAAAACAAGAAAAAAAATATTCTGAATCTCAGAAGCCAGAACAGCAAGAGGGATCGCTGCACAGTGAAAGCAGCAATCCCTCTTGCTGTTCTGGCTTCTGGGATAGCTGCACAGCCTGCATTCGCTCCATAAGACGCACACACATTTCCCCTTACTTTTTAGGAGGGAAAAAGTGAGTCTGATAGAGCAAAAAATACGGTACCAATCAGTCCACTAAGAAAATCCATCCTTTCCAACTGAAGTTGAAAATGTCCCCAGATTCATTGAGAAAAATCTGGTAACCTTACTCTGAAGCCATGGAGTCATCTCTTTATTGGGTCAGAGACGTCTGGTTCTTATTTTAAACATTCAGCATGGAGTGAAAGGCAGGCCATGTCTTCTGAGTCTCCTGCCAACGTTGTTGCACCAAACATCCCAGCTCCGCCACTGCCTTGACCTTTTCATGTTCAGTGAAGACCTCGGTGGGGATCTGGCTGTGCGCCTTTGGCTTCTAGATGCAATTGGGTTCCCTTATTATATGGGTCTCTGAACTACAGTGGTACCTCGGGTTAAGAACTTAATTCGTTCCGGAGGTCTGTTCTTAACCTGAAACTGTTCTTAACCTGAAGCACCACTTTAGCTAATGGGGCCTCCTGCTGCCCCTGTGCCACCGCCACGTGATTTCTGTTCTCATCCTGAAGCAAAATTCTTAACCCGAGGTACTATTTCTGGGTTAGCATCTGTAACCTGAAGCGTCTGTAACATGAAGCGTATGTAACCCAAGGTACCAATGTATATGGAGAAACCTACATGAGTGCAGCTGGCTCCTCCTCCATCAACAGATAAGATGTGTGGGCAAAGTTGTAGCATGGCCCCATGCTTCCATGTTCACAGCTTAGCCCTGTTCACATACATGGACCATGTCCATGTCAGTTTCATTAAGCAGATTGACAAATTTAGATTGATCTTCTAATCCTTATGGCATCTACATCCCATCAACTACAGAGAGATTTGCTAAATATGAACGGTCACTTCCTGCTGCTCTTTTAAAAATGATGACACTTTGCATATCTTGTTTCCCTTCCAAATAAAGATTTGCATCAGTGACAACAGTGACAGTCTGTCTCTGCCTTCTGTTTAAGGCAGATGTTTTTAGGGAGAGAAAGCTGGAGTCGATACTGATCACACTCAAAGCAAGGTTGTTTGTAGACCAACTTGGGAAAACAATGCTAGCAATCAAAATGCAATACTTTTCTTTCTTTAACAAATAAAATGAAATACACGAAGCCTATCAACTAAAATGCAAGGCCCCGGGAGTACTCATATCGGGGGTGGGGGGAGAGAAAGCATTGTTGATTACCAGCTTTTCTCAATAGTAAATGGCCATACTGCTGAATTCTGAAATATACACATGCTGGCAGATTCCCATAGTCTAAAGGGCTTCCAGTATAGATTATGTCCACCTAAATTTATGCTCCTGCTTAGTCTTCAGGAGATGCTTCTGAATCCAGATGTTTTGACACTGATTATTTAGAGAAATTTGCTAAATGTAATCAAGTTTTGTTTTCTTGGAACCTAGCTGGATTTGCAAAGTGGGTTCCAACACAGGGAAGGACTATAGGAACATAGGCTAAGTGGGACTTTGCAGTAGTTGGCAATTATGAACACATTTAGAACTCTCTGGTGGTGGAGAGGGATAACCTTCTCCCCGGTATCTCATTTTGCTGGGCCAAATGAGGAGCCAAGGGCAACCCAAGACATTTTGCTGTTTGAGGTAAACCAGAAAATGGCCCCCAGGAGCTGTAGTTTGTGAAGCGTACAGGGTTAAAGAAAATGGCACCCTGAGGAATTGTAGTTTGTTAAAGGTACTGGGTTAAAGCATGGATAGGGAATGTCAGAACCAGGGACCCACATGCAGCCCTCAAAGCCTCTAAGTCAGGGCTCAAGCCACCTGACTCAAGTTCTGCTTTGTACCATCCTTGTGTGTTTTTTGTTTTGTTTTTTAATTAATATTTATTAAAGTTTCAGAAAGAATAAAATCACATTAATAAACACAAAAATTTTAACAAAAACAGAGAAAAATACCCCATACAAAATACAAAGTACAGAATAGAAAAAAGAAGAAAGAAAAAAAAGAAGAAAAAAAAGAGAAAACAGTTAAAAATAGTTCCGTCCTTTCATAACCTCTTTTAAATTTACTTGTTTCCCGGACTTCCTCATACCTCCCTCTTTTGTATTCCAATTCAGTTTGTAAACCCAGCAATTTCTTACCCTCCTTTTTAATTCCAATCCTTAATCTTGATATATTATGCCATTAGATTTTTACCTATTTGAACCTATTTTTCCATTTCTCTTAGTCTTTTTGGTCCTAATCCTTAATCTTGATACATTTATAACTTTAAAATCTGTTCAGCTAGAAGCCACTTAACTTCAATCCATCATCCCTCTAACATTCTTTAATTTTGCAATATTTCTGTAAATAATCTTTAAATTTCTTCCAATCTTCTTCCACTGACTCTTCTCCCTGGTCACGGATTCTACCAGTCATTTCCGCCAATTCCATATAGTCCATCATTTTCATCTGCCATTCCTCCAGTGTGGGTAGCTCTTGTGTCTTCCAATACTTTGCAACATCCTTGTGTGTTTTTTGAGTGAAATGTGTGTTTGGATGGAGAGAAGGCATTGTAATGCTGGGAGAACGCTCACCCTTCCTTTAAGCATAGGGAGTTGTTCCTTAGGCACACGTGTGTGTGTGTGTGTGTGTGTGTGTGTGTGTGTGTGTGTGTTTGTTTTACCTGGTGTTGCCACGTCTACTTGTGTACCTTGTTCAGCTCAAGGTCTGCATTCCTTCAAGGGTAACCTTCCAGGGGTTGCATGCAGGTGATTGGTGGGGTCAGAGACAAAAGAGGGCAGGGCAACGGACATGACTCTTTCCTTTGTACCATAAGCAGCATTCCGACCATTAAAAAAGCAGGTCCATAGCTATCCGTATCTATCTTTCTCCAGACAAGTGACATTATCACAGTTCAAGAAAGCATTCTACCCAGGCAAAAGCTCTTGAGAAGGGCAGGGAACAAGACAAGTGAGGAGTGTGGTTTTGCTATGAATGATGGTTGCATTCCCTGCCACCCTGTTCTGCATGATTCACAAGCCGTCCTAGTAATGTCTTCCAACAGGAGCCTCTTGTTCTTTCCTTTTCCAGTATTCCATCAAAATTAAAGAAAGAAAAAATCCTTCCAGTAGCACCTTAGAGACCAACTAAGTTTGTTATTGGTATGAGCTTTCGTGTGCATGCAATAACAAACTTACCAATAACAAACTTAGTTGGTGTGTATCTGAAGAAGTGTGCATGCACACGAAAGCTCATACCAATAACAAACTTAGTTGGTCTCTAAGGTGCTACTGAAAGGAATTCTATAATTTTGTTTCGACTATGGCAGACCAACACGGCTACCTACCTGTTACTAGTATTCCATCAGTAAGATCTAGTTTCAAGAAAAAATGTGACCTTCCTGAACATCATAACTTATTCTTATGGTTGGTATATTAGAGAATCAGCTTGAGTGTACCAAAACCACTTGGTCAAAGTAAGGACACTTTCCTCAGATGAGAGTATCGGGGAGTTTTGATTTTATGGTTTTAATCTTGCCGTTTTATAAGATACAGAACATTAGTTAATATGTGTGTTAAATTAAGTTCTGCGATTGGGAGACCGCAACACCCGGGTTTACTTTTATGCCCCTTATTTAACAAAGAGACTTTAGGTTAGTCTTTTTAAAAACATTGCCCTCTTCAATGCTGACTTGTACTTCTAGCTGCTTTGGTGATTCTCACACTTTTTCAGATCATTCTTTCCTTTTTAGTAGAATTTCAGTTTGTATTTCTAAGCATAGATGGAACTGATTGGAAACTATGCTTTTCTATTACTGATGCAGAAATTTAAAATACAAGAGTTGAAATTCCATCTGTTTTGGAGGATTCAATTCCCTCAGCTACGGATGTTTAAATATTATGGGATTTAATGAAAAGCTATTTAAGAGGAGAAATTATCTTCTTTATTTCATATAAAAATATTAAAAAATAGGGAAAGTAGGGTAATCTTACTCTAGGAAGGTTTGGATAGAGTCCCCAGTGCTTACTGTAGAGATGCTACTCAATCTCATCTATTCAAACTGGAAATTAATAAATTGTGGGCATAATATAGTGGATTAGTACTTCAGTTTAAAGCAAAACGTGATGTTGTGGTTGAAAACAGCATGGGATCTTGGTTGTCAGCTCTAACAAATTACAAATAGGGATACAATCCCAACTATTTGAGATTATCTTGTTAAGGATGTATCGTATTTTTTGCTCTCTAAGACGCACCTGACCATAAGACGCACCTAGTTTTAGAGGAGGAGGAGAAGAAGAAGAAATTATCTTGCTGTCTGCGCAGCGCCTCTCCAGCAAAGCAGGAGGAGAAATGGAAGGGGCTCCGTTTCTCCTGCCGCTTCGCTGAAGGGGCACTGCACAGCTCTCCCTCTCCTCGCAGTGCCTCCTCAGCACTGAAGAGGCACTGCGCAGAGAGGGAAAGCTGCGCAGCACCTCTCCAGTGAAGCGAAGTCAGAACAGCAAGAGGGATCACTGTGCAGCGAAAGCAGCAATCCCTCTTGCTGTTCTGGCTTCTGGGATAGCTGTGCAGCCTGCATTCGCTCCATAAGACGCACACACATTTCCCCTTACTTTTTAGAAGGGAAAAAGTGAGTCTTATAGAGCAAAAAATACAGTAAATATGTACCTCAAACCAACTATGGGAACATTTGAACGTGGGGTCCCCAATGTGGAAGTCATGGACACTGCAGTGCCTTAAGATATCCACTGTTTAAAACCTGCCAAGCCCCCCCATGCCCCTCCCATCTATTATTTCTATTTTTAAAATTAGTTTATTTCTTGTGGTTGTGTAGTGAGGGGAGGCTATCTGTTTGGGAGCATAATTTTTTGGCCTGTGCTTTAGTTTGTCTGTGGGGTGAAGGTTAGGTGTTTACCCTGTTTTTTCTTGTTTTTTGTTTTTGGGAAGTGTGGGTGCATCTGAGCATAGGCAGTACTTCTTCCATGAAATGGGTATTTTGTGAAGTCCAGGATTGTTTCTAAACATGGCCCTAGACTCAGAAAGGTTGAAGACCCCCTACTTTATGGTCCATAGGCCAAACTCTTGTTTAATGTTAGTGTGGGAAGCCTGTGGGAACTACCACTCCCATTAATCTTAGCATGCATTGTCAATGACCAGAGATGTTCACAGTTGTTCAGCAATATGCAAAAAGCCATGGATTCCCCACATCTAATGTAAAAGTTGAGCCTGCTGTATTAGTAAACCAAGAATGTTCCTTGATTACTATATTACCTTTCTGCATACAAAGTTAACCAATCCTAGTCAGAAGTGATGGAATTGGGACTTGGGCCAGTTCAAGACATGTTGTTGCCTTCAGTAGAGCAGCACATGGTCATAACTACACTCCCAAAATAGCATAGAACAGGGTGAGCCAACATAGTGCCTTCCAGATGTTGCTGGACTACAACTCCTACCAGTGCCAGAAAGACCAGTGGTCATGGATTATGGAAGCTGTAGTCCAGTAGCATTTTCAGGGAACCGTGTTGGCTATTTCTAGTGTAGAACCTAAGGCTGAGCACACACACAATCTGGTGTCCTTCTATATTGCCCAAAATAAGCTACTTGATGCTTAATGGTGAGGTTACCCTTAGCATTCGATAGAAGAAAATGCAGTTTAGATGGCAACTAGACCAGATTAGATATTTAGGAGTGAAAATTACTACAAATATAGAGAGATGGTGAAGATCAATATGAACAGTCTGCTTGCTGAGATAGCAATAGATCTTAATAATTGGCAGTCTCTTTAACCTCTCCTTATTTTGGAAGATAAATGGTCTTAACATAAATTAAACCAGGCATTAATAAACTGAGATACGAATGAGCTCCATGCACCCACATGATGCAGACAAGAAATATGTCAACTGCATGAAGCTACATGCAGTCACTTTACTCTGTTGTTTTATATGTTCAGGGAAACATGCCAGGAAGCTGCATTTAACCATTGCTTCTTGTTAATACAGTGGTACCTCTGGTTAAGAACTTAATTCATTCTGGAGGTCCGTTCTTAACCTGAAACCGTTCTTAACCTAAGGTACCACTTTAGCTAATGGGGCCTCCTGCTGCCACTGTGCCGCTGCCGCACAATTTATGTTCTCATCCTGAGGTAAAGTTCTTAACTTGAGGTACTACTTCTAGGTTAGAGTCTGTAACCCGAGGTGTTTGTAACCTGAGGTACCACTGTATTAAAACTGGGAAACTATGGCTATTTAAAAACATGGCTTCTTCTCTTGGCTTGCTTGGAAGCAATTAACCATAGTTTCCTAGTTTGGGTGTGATGGAAAGCTATGGTTAATGGTGGCTTCCTGGCTTGTTTCCCAGTTCTTACGAAGGAAAAAGGAAAGCAGGTGTGTGTCAGGGGACGCATGAAGCTTGTTGGTATCTCATCCTGTCATTCCCAAGATTTGATCATCCAAATATATTCGTTTTATGTGTGGCCTACCAAGATATAGGGGATGTGGGTGGTGCTGTGGTCTAAACCACTGAGCCTAGGGCTTGCCGATCGGAAGGTTGGCAGTTTGAATCCGCACGACAGGGTGAGCTCCCGTTGCTCGGTCCCTGCTCCTGCCAACCTAGCAATTTGAAAGCACATCAAAGTGCAAGTAGATAAATAGGTACTGCTCCAGCGGGAATGTAAACGGCGTTTCCGTGCACTGCTCTGGTTTGTCAGAAGCGGCTTAGTCATGCTGGCCACATGACCCAGAAAATCTGTATGTGGACAAATGTCGCCTCCCTCAGTCAGTAAAGCAAGATGAGCGCTGCAACCCCAGAGTCATTCACAATTGGACTTAACTGTCAGGGGTCCTTTACCTTTTACCAAGATATAATGTAGTGTCTGTCCTCAGAAGAATACCCTAAAATGTATTGATCACTCCTCTAGTCTCATGATAACGTCAACGGGGAGCTCAAGTTAAACTTCAGTTTACTTTACCTTTACCCCTCCACCCCCTGGCCAAAAGCTGACCTTGTTAAAGCTGTCCTTGGTAAATCAATGTCCTTACTTTGTTCGTGTTTTTGCCTTCTGTAAATTCGATCTTCGTATGAGCTGCTAACATTGTCATTCTTAAGGATTTTCAGAGCTGTGTGCAAACGTGCACCTCAGGATTATCCTTCCTATTTATGAGAAGGAAATGTTGAGGAAGTATTTTACCAAATTTCTCCAGGTAGGGGAGGGACTCACCAACAGTAGGGGAAGTAGCACATCTACTCCCCCCACCTTAAAGTATTTCCTTCTTGGTTGCTGCTGCTAGTGGTGGGAGCAACAATTATGTAGGCTTCCTGACCACCATTTTACATTCCTTCAGTGCCTTGGACATAGTGTTGTGTCAGTATATTCTGGGAGAGAAAATGGCGGCCACCACATTAAAAAACCTGAAGAGTATTTGGACAAAATTGTGTGAAGTGGTTTTTTTGTGTGTGAGAGAGAGAGTGAGAGTGAGAGACAGACAGACAGACAGACAGAACTCTAGTTCAGATCCGTATCTCTGGAATACAAATCATTGTGTGGGGGGATAATTCATCTTGTCTGTAGTGCGCCTTCATCTGCCCCAGCTGCAACAAAACATGTCTCTCCCTCATCAGCACACACTTCACACAGCTTCACCTGCTGAGGTATATGGCTGATAACACATTACAAGATTTATTTATTTATTTATTTATTTAGTGTATCTTCACAAAAATAGCTCACTTGGTCTTTAAATCAGGGCACAGAAATTGCAGAGAGCTGCAACAAGCACAGAGATAAAACTCCTTTTCCTCTGTCCATACCTCTAGGCTTGAACAGGGGTCCTTGGAATGAGAACTGGGGAATCATTGGTCTAGTGCCATTGCTGACTGGTTTTAGGCCTCAGGCAAAAGCATTCTCATTTCCTTAGGTTTATGGTTTTTAATGGGGATGGTAATTTGATATGTCAGTGGCCTTTATTGTGCTCACATTTGAACTGAGATGGGTAGTACTTCTTAACAACGGAAGAAGAGCCTGCTGGATCAGGCCAGTGGCCCATGTGGTCCAGCATCCTGTTCTCAAAGTGGTTGAAGTGATTCTTGTGGAAAACCAGCAAACAGGATCTGAGCACAAAAGCCCTCTCACCTCCTGTGGTTTCCAGCAACTGGTATACCGAAGCATTATTGCCTCTTTCTATAAGGAAAAGCATAAACCACATGGCTAATAGCCATTGATAGCCCTCTCTATGAATTTGTCCAGTCCTCTTTTAAGGCTGCCTGGGCTGGTGGCCAGCACTGCCTTCTGTGGGAATGAGTTCCGCAGTTTAAC